AGGCCGGGAGCGATGGCAAGTGGGCAGGAGGAGCCTGCAGAGCCCTGGGTGGACATAAACGTTTTCCCAGGGAAAGAAATCAATTAAACCAGGTTTGAGGGCTCATTGCAGCTTTGCAGCCTGTGCTCCCTGCTGCCTCCTGCCCTCCCCACCCCCAGATGGTTGCACTGGCACGGGGGAATCAAAGGTGCATCAAGACATGCTACAGCATGAAATCTTTGTGCTTACATATAAATATACATAAATAAAATGAGCTCTGCCACCAGTCACTGGTGTGGGAAAGATTTCCTGACTTTCACAAACTTCCCTTGTCTTATCATTGCACTCAGAGTTTCTCTGAAATAAAGAACATGCTGGTTTTTTGCCCCTTTGTTCTACACACAAATCAATAACTTGGGTAACATCGAGGCACTATTTAAAGGCCCCCAAAAGCTCCAAAGACACAATCTTTGCAGTTTCATTGCTGAAATGCCAGAAGGAACTGCTCTAGGAACATATTCAGAACGACTGTTACAGGAGGGAAACTGCAAGTTTGGACAATTCCAAGTTTAGTGCTCAAAAGAAATTTTACAACTTCAGACGCTGTTTTAAAAATGACCCTTTTCTTCCAAACAATCTGAGCTTGGATGATTTTGCAACAAAGCAAGACTAATCCCAGCTGGATCATACCGTCCTAAGGGTTAGGAGGAACAGGTTCTTGTTAGCAGAGAAAGCAGGTGCTGAAGGTGATGAAACCCAGGACAAAACTGCACCCCACCCTGCTTGGAGGTGGTCCCTGCTCTGCCCCTCACCCTCACCTCTGGACCTTGTTTCCATGCAAAACCAAAGGTGCTGTTTTGCAGACCTTAGAGCACCTTCCAGTGCCTGAAGGGGCTCCAGGAAAACTGGGGAGGGACTTCACAAGGACTTCTAGTGGTAGGACAAGGGGTAATGGATTAAAACTGGAAGAGAGGAGATTGAGGTCAGCTATTAAGAAGAAAGTCTTCACTCTGAAGGTGATGAGACACTGGAACAGGTTGCCCAGAGAAGCTGTAGCTGCCCCATCCCTGGCAGTGTTGAAGGGCAGGTTGGATGGGGCTTGGAGCAACCTGGGCTGGTGGGAGGTGTCCCTGCCCATGCAGGGGGTTGGATCTAGATGATCTTTAAGGTCTTTTCCAACCCAAACCAGTCTGTGACTCTATGGTTAGTTCAGCACACTCAGACACTTCCCATACTGTGTATATTTGCACTACCCACCCATATTCTCCACTAGAAAGCCCAGGTTTTCATGACTCTCATTTTGAGAATGAAAACTTGTAATTCCACACTAGCTGGCACTCCTTTTTTTTAATACGACTATTTGCCATCTCCTTCCCAGTAATTTATTTTCTACATAATAAATGTTTAATGACTCTCCACGTGTACATTTTGCCAGGAAGCCAAAAGTGACCCTGACAAAGCAAATAAACATTTTGCAGCTTATCCAGCTGTTCTAGGCACTCCACTGGTAACAGAGCTGAAAAAGGTGATGAGGAAGAAACCATTCAGTATTTCTATAAAGAGACACTTCATTAAGGTAATTAAGGCAGTCCTTTAAAACAGCTATGAGGACTATTAACACACAACAGAAATGATGCAATGGGGTTTTTGCAAACCAGCCAGACTTAGCATTCTTTTATGAGGCCTTTAAGAATAACTTTCAGCAGTTTAATGAGCTTTGGAAAACAGTCTCATTAGTTAGCAAAGGATGGAGCCTTCTCTCCACAGTGATTCTCCCCCTTCTCCGCTCTGGTGAGACCTCACCTGGAGTAGCGTGTCCAGTTCTGGAGCCCCCAACAAAGGAAGGACGTGGAGCTGGTGGAGCGAGTCTAGAGGAGGCCATGGAGATGATCCAAGGGCTGGAGCAGCTCTGCTCTGGAGACAGGCTGAGAGAGTTGGGATGTTCAGCCTGGAGAAGAGAAGGCTCCAGGGAGACCTTAGAGCAGCTTCCAGTGCCTGAAGGGGCTCCAGGAAAGCTGGGGAGGGGCTTGGGACAAGGGCAGGGAGGGAGAGGACAAGGGGTAATGCATAAAAACTGGAAGAGGGGAGATTTATGTCAGCTATTAGGAAGAAATTCTTCACTATGAGGGTGGTGAGAGACTGGCCCAGGTTTCCCAGAGAAGCTGTGGCTGCCCCATCCCTGGAAGTGTTGAAGGGCAGGTTGGATGGGGCTTGGAGCAACCTGGGCTGGTGGGAGGTGTCCCTGCCCGTGCAGGGGGGTTGGAACTGGATGATCTTTGTCCTTCCACCCCAAACCAGGCTGTGATTCTACACCTTGGAAGAGAGTGCTCAGGGTCTCTTGAGATTAATTGTTTCTGTGGGGAATGGAGTTGGGTTTTTAAAAATGTAACAATAACTGAATGAGCTGGTTAAATTGTGCTGGTTCAAAAAAAAAGCAGCCACTGATGTCACAGAGATCAAGGCTGGAACCACAGCAGCACCACAATCACCACCTCACTGCTCCATATTCCACTATGAGCAGCATCCTGAAACCATAAAGCTCTTTGAAAGATGTAGAAAATCCCTTGACAGTTGATACTTTGCAAACCACCAATTCTGAAGATGGGCTTTCTCATAATGCCTCCCAGTGATTAATAGCAGCCTTTATTTAAACCATCAGCCATCTAACACAGATATTACCCATGTTAAGAATCACTAGAGCACTGCACATAACTGTACTTTCCAGGAGAGAAAAATGACAGGCATTTATAACAGTCAAACATGTCATGATGTTAGACTGAAAATATTTTTCTAAGTCATCAGGGTTTCTGTTTTTTTCTAGAGGAATGTGCATGTTTAATTAACACATGGAAAATGAAGCAGGAACCACAGCCTCTGCTAAAGGGGCATGACACATTTTTCAAAATCCCTTACTTAACTTAGGAGCCTAAAGGGTTTTTCTACTTCAACCCCACCGTGGTGGATACACCAACTCAACCTTCCTGGTGGATTCACTTGTGCTGAAACAAAAAGACACCAAGGGATAAATGAGAGCAATGCAGATCAGCAAAGTACTATTTCAATCATTTTTTTGAAGTATTCCTCCCACAACTCTTAGATCTTGTGGATCATAAAACAAATTATCACTTCAAAAGCCAATTGCACCTTGAACTCCTCAGTGAGGTGTGAGGAGAGGAACGAGTTGGGCTGGGGTGAGATGGGACATGGGGGTTTGGGGCACGTGGAAGCAGTTTGTCTACCTAAAGCTGTATTTCCTGCCTTTAAAGCATGTTTTAGAACCAAACAGATCCTTTTCTGCCCTCTTTTGTACGCATTTGTCATTTAATTCTGCATTAAACCTCCCTCATGTGCTTCTGCAGGAGCACAGAGCCCTCAGGAGACAACGTGCTCATCAACGTGCGACTGAGATGGGACTTTGCCTCAACCTCCAAATGCTTTTGTGATCCCCCACTTTTAATTTATGTAGAAACAGCACAAAGCCAAGTACGTTTTTAAAGCTTGTGTGCCCAAAGTCACCCTGCAAAGCGGATTTGAGTGGCTCTTCCACAGCCCACTGTGAGATAGGTCTGACGAAAAAACCTCTGGGGACCGGGATGTCGGTGGGAAAGGACAGTTAGGGGAAAAAAAAAAAAAAAACCAGCAGCCGTATGACTTTAATGCATCGATATCCTGAAGGGTACACACGTCTGACCAGCGGCCCCAGAGCTGCACTCAGGTCCCTGTGCCCTCAGGGCGGCCATTTTACCTCAGCGCGGCCGAGCCCCGCGCGCCTCCTCCGTCCTGCCGCCCGCG